CCAGGACCACCCCCCCTTCCCCAGGAAACACCTTAGGACTAGTTCCAGGGCTTGATTCATTTGATGTGCAGTTAAGAGATGTGAAAAACAGCAGTGGGCTGCCGGAAACCCAGCAGAAAGAAAAATCTAGAATTGCAAATGTAAAACTCCCACCCTCTGACAGATTATGCTGATGGCCCCGAAAGCCAAAAAGAGAAGCAGAAATGACCTGATACTGGAATATCTGAGAAGGGAAACACCAGGGGGCGAATCACTGTGCCACCTCCCCCCACCCCATTATTATTCTGGGAATAGTAATACCTACCCTCAAAGGGTCGTGTTGAGGATTAAAAATAAGACCGTTGTCATGTCAAGCATTGAGCCATCCCAGGTGATTCATTGGGACTGGTTCCTGGCAGCTCCCTCCCCCCAAGCAAATTCTTCTCCTAGCAGTCCCCAGTGCGTCCGTCCAGAAATCCCTGTGGTTACTGTGGACATTTTCCGGGGACTTTGCCAGTGGCTTACCCAGGTGGCACATTGTAACTTTACTCTGACAGTTTGGGAAAACAAACAGAGCTGTTCTGACCTGTTTGATGTCTTTTGCTCCTGCATCTCCGCCTCCAGCCTGCCTGCTGGTTGTGATCCGTATTAAAAACCTTGAGGATGCCCCGGACCACGCACGCTCAAGCGGGCCGGGGCTCCCATCCGCAGGTTTCGCTTCATGGCCTTCTTCGCCCACTTTGCCGATGACTGCTGTGAGTGACGCCAATGATCTTCCTATTGTCGGTGTGCCCCTGACTTTCTCCTATCACTGGGCTTAATCTCACTCTTTCCCCAAATTTCGTCTATTTAAGGATAGCCCCAAAGGAACCCTTAGCAGCTGTTTCAAGGCAGTATTGTGAAAACAACCCAAATTGGTCCCTGGCTTGTTCTGTTTACACAACTGTGAGGGGATGGGGAGCAAAATGTTTGAAAGGAGTTTCGTTTCAATTTTCTCACTAAAAAGTATTAAAATGTGAATTATTTTAATAATTATCATTATTTTAACACATAGCTATATATCATTAAATATGTATTTTGCTTATAAATACATATGCATTTAAATATGTATTTATGTAAGTGGAGAAGAGAATGGCACCCCAGTCCAGTATTCTGCCTGGTGGGCGGCAGTCCACAGGGCTGGGAAGAGTCGGACAGGACTTAAGCAACTTAGCGTGGACGCAGGTGTTTATGTAAAATGCAAATGTTACATATTAGAAATATGTACATAATACATGTGTATTAAATTGTACTATATATTAAAATATGTGTATTATTATGTATTAAGATGCAGATGTAAATATGTATTCAAGCATACAAAATATGTATAAGACACATATGCGAACCAAGCACTTGCTTCAGATGGTAACTTTGGATAATGTGGAATTTTTGTATGCGTGTCAGCACTGGCATTCTTCCAGAGCCTTACTTCTGTAGCCCCATTTGAAACACTTACTGGATGTTTTTGCTCATTATAAGAGTGATACATGCACTTGATTTAAAAAATTTGGAAAAGGGCAGTATAGAGAAGAAGATATCCCTCCTGTCCACTCTCTCCTGAATCAGGATTCTGGCACTGAGAGCACGTCCTTCTGGTTCTTTTCTTGCAACAACCAGTTTAAACCTTTAGTTCAGCGCCTCTGTTTGCCATTCCTCATGGTATCTTGTCTTCTCTCGGTCGCAAGCTCTGCCTAAATTGCTGTCTTAGAAAAATCCAGAACGCTTAAGAGAAGGGACATGGGGCAAAGAGAGGCACAGATAATTCAGAAAAGCAACTACAAAATTAAGAGCATGATTTTTGCCGTGTAATCCTTCAGTTGTACCCCCCTCTAACCCCATAAGACCCTTCTCCCTACGCTGCACCTGCTTAGGGCGCGTCACACTCTCTACCTGGGATGAAATGGAAGGGAACTGATCACCCTCAGTGGAAATGCTCAGGGTCAAATTATATACTCTTATGGTAAAGAGAGGGGAGTGGGCAGTGGCGGGGCTGTGGCTTTAACAATTCCTAGGCAGGCTTTCGTGCTGGCCAACTAGCTTGCATCATGATAATACAATTTTGTATGTTAAACAGCAGATGTCAGATAGAAGAAAGAGACGGGTCTTTGCTTTTCTTCTCCTGTGGACCCTGCTCCCCCAAAGCAGCCATTTTTTCAGTTGCCATGACAGTGGTGATAGGAGTTTATCATTTTCCCATGCCTGCTGCATGCTAATGCAGAATCAACTCGCAAATGTTATCTGGTTAGGGAAGAAAGAGTCCAGACCGCAGTTTGCCGTTGTGCTGCAGAGATGGACGCCGCCACTGCCTTTTCGCTCTCCCCACAGTCCTCAGCTCCTGTTTCGGGGGGCAGTTTCTGTAAAGCAGAAGTTTTGATTTGCCCGACTATTAATATAGCATTCGCGATCAGCCTCAGGACTCCTGATGCTGTGTGCACCCATTGACAAAACAGATTAGTCACTGCTTTTTGTGAAAAGAAGCCACAAAGGACAAAGATCATCTAGATAGTGACCATAAGTAATATCTATAAATCAAATATGTATATTCAACAGACAACAGTTCTACTCTTTCTTCCTGAATACTAATCTCACTTTCAAAGCATCAGGCCCATTCACACACTAGGTAGGAGACAGCTCTTTTGAGACCCAGCAAAATGGAGAAAATCATAATATTTTTATAAGGAGAGCACCTTCCTTCAATAAACAAAGATGGTGTTGAAATTAAGAAATAGTCACATTCGGAATGACTCCTTCTGAGAATGAAGGAAATTTATTCTGATAAAATGGACAGAAAGGAAAAAAAAATGAAAAAGTGGTCATTAAACCCAGATGATGGGCACACAGATGTCCCTTATATTATTCTTGGTACTTCTCTGTGTTTGAAATGTTCTCCAGTTTCTGAAAATTTTATGAATCAGCCTTTCTGTTTGGCTTTTAATTGTGTTAATTAACAGTGTTTAAGTCACAGCCCAATGGGGAAAAGAGAGAAAAAAGAAGCAACAAAGTAACGTGGCAGAAGCAAAATTAAAGCCCAAAGTGATTTACAGCACACTTACATTTCCCCCTTAATTTCTAACAGAATGTGGTGGTGGCTGTCAGCTAATGTTTGCTTTTTTTTTTTTCCTTCCTAATCCCTTAAAAAAAAAAAATTCTTGCATCAATTGACCACTAAAATGATTGCTTCAATTGTTGGTTAGAGTTTATTCTCCGGAATTGAAAAACCAGTTGCTTTTATATGCATTGTCCGCCTTATTTTTTAGGCATCTGGCACATTTTATTCCTTTTTTGTTATTTTGAGTTGTTCTTTTATCATTATCTGCAGGAAGCAGCATTAGCATGCCCGAGATAAGACGAGGGATCCAGATGTGCATATCAAAGGATGAACAGCTACTTATTAAGAAAAACTTTTCTTTTTAAGCCCAGCTTCTGTTCAAAGGCATAATAAAGCCTATGGCGTTAGTGACAAACTGGAAATTCAATGCCTTGTCACCGCCAAGCATCCGAACAGGGGGAAGAAAAAAGGTCAAAGAAATTGGTAAGGTCCTCACTTTAGAATTCTGAAAAGACAGAACTGGTAAAAGTTCATCTTCTCCAGACGTATGCATTTATACCCTGCTGTGTTTATTCACTGTTTTCTGGGGGAAATGAATGAGCCACACATGGGCTGGCTGGCTGTTTCGATTAAGGATGAATTTTAAATCACCAGGTTATTTTTTAGAAGAGTGAAATATGTTGATGGTGAAAGCATCTGACTTTAATGTCATCGGCCGGCATGTGCTTCTGCGGCAGCGAGAACACTCGTAGGCACACAGGAGGCGTGCATTTAGGTGGAAGAGCCCAGTGTTGTGATAGTTTATAAAGTGAATCTTCCACTGCTGCTATGCTTCTGACATTGGGTCACTCCCTCCTCCCTCCGGTGTGTTTCTCTGTGTCCCTTGTGGGAACATAGTTGTCCATAGGCAGGCATAAAGGCACAGATCTATATACTTATTTAAGGAAACGGCAACCCACTCCAGTATTCTCGCCTGGGAAATCCCACGGACAGAGGAGCCTGGCGGATGGGCCACAGTTCGTGGGGTTGCAAACAGTGGGACACACCTTAGTGACTAAACAATAACAATACATATATTTAGTGGTGGTGTTTTTAAAGCTAATTTTGCCAAAACTTGTGTATACTTCCTTGATCTTGGCAGTTTCATTTGCCAATCATTCCACTGGCACGCATAAGCCAACCTCACTCTTTTTCATTTATGCATCAGTGGTCTGTGAGTTGGCTGTGCCATAATGTCTACAACCATTTCATTTTTGGCAGCCACTTAAGTTTCTTCCAGGGTTTCCCAATTGCGAAAAAGTGATGCAAAAAATATCCTCACATGTAAATTTTTGTGTGTTCATCCTTTGTTCTTTCTGCCATTACTTTTCTTTCTCGATTGTCCAAAAAAATATTTTAATTGCTAAGAAAAGTCATGCATCTATATGCTTGAGTCTGAAGTAAATTAGAAATAAGTTAATCTCTTATTTTCTCTTTTGACTTAAGATTTCAGAGAACTGTGATATCTGTTACAGTATCTGTACAGAACTGTACATCCGTTCTGAAGGTATCTGATTTCACTTTGGTTCTTGGGTTCCTAAGCCAAGTTCTATAGTTGACTCAACAACTGACCTTCACTAGTCATTTTGGTCGGAGAAGGCAATGGCAGCCCATTCCAGTGTTCTTGCCTGGAAAATCCCATGGACAAAGGAGCGTGATAGGCTGCAGTCCATGGGGTCGCTAAGAGTTGGACATGAATGAGCGACTTCACTTTCACTTTTCACTTTCATGCGCTGGAGAAGGAAATGGCAACCCGCTCCAGTGTTCTTGCCTGGAGACTCCCAGGGACGGGGGAGCCTGGTGGGCTGCCGTCTATGGGGTCACGCAGAGTCGGACACAACTGAGGTGACTTAGCCGCAGCAGCAGTCATTTTGGTACGTGGATCATTTTTTAAAGTTAGCTGAGTCTTAAATTTGTCAGGAGGCAATCACTAGAGTTTGAAAAATACATAACTAACCCTCTTGTTTGGTAAATAAACAATAAAGTAAAGAGACTTGGCACAGGGTATGTGGTGGGGGCTTGGTCACTAAGTCATGTCTGACTCGTGACCCCGTGGTCTCTGTAGCCCGCCAGGCTCCTCTGTCCATGGGATTCTCCAAGGTAAGGGATTGCCATGCCCTCCTCCAGGTATGTGCATCTTACTAGATACATCTTAAGCATACTCAAGGAAGTCTGTGTGTGTATATATAATATGAACATATATCATAAGTTTATCTAAGTATAAGATGAAGTATAAAAGCATTGCTTTCCCACCAATGGTAGCCTACTATTCAAATTGGTCTGTATTCGTTTTTTTTTTTTTTCCACTTAAGTATGTAGAAAGAGAATTATTTCATTTATTCATTTGCTTATTTATGTTTAATTTTGCCTGTGCTGGCTCTCTCTTGTGGCACGCGGACTCTCCAGTTGAAAAAATACTACCTAGGCATTCTAATGCCATAAAACTTGAATATGAGCAGTCGGCATCAACTAAACACAGCCGTTAGACCGGAAAGAGATAAATCAAAATTCCTTTTATGGACAGGACTCAGGCACATGTCCGGGCGTGGCTGTGGGTGGGGTCTTCCAGCGCCGGCTGCTTGGAAGCAGCGTCAAACGTGCAGGTGAGCCTGGAGCCCTGAGCCCTGCCAGCGTGGCCTTCCAGCTTCCTGGGCAGCCTCCGGACCGGGCGGGTACCCTGATGCAGCAGGAACAGACGGTCCGCCGGGGAAAGGCTGCAGCTTGCGCTGGAGGCTGGCCAGTACCTGCCTGAAGCGGTGGTTCCGCTTCCGCAGCTCGTGGAGCGCCGTCTCGGTGTACAGCGCCTCCGCCCACCGTTCCCGGGCTCTGTTCTCCTGCGAGGAGCTCGCTTCGGCAGGAGGACGTGGCTCTCTGCAGTTCTCTGTGTTCTCGGCCGTCTTCTCGTAGAGGCGGCTCTTCTGACTGGCGCAGTCCAGGCTTCCGTAGGCTTGGGGACATCTCCTCCGTCTCCAGGCGGCATGTTGCGGCCTCCGTTGACTTCCTCAGTAGCTGCTTGACCTGCTCCCGACGTCATTCAGGCAGCATTTCAAGTTTCTGCCGAAGGTTCTGAGTCTGCCTCTCCAGCTGTGCGTTTTCAGACCGCAAGGAGGCTTGCTCGGATTTGAGACGTTTTCTTTGTCCCACTCGCTCTTCATTGGTTTGATTTTTTTCATACAGTTTTCTGGACATTTCTTCTTTTTCTTTCTTCTTCCTTTTAAAGGACACTTTTAAGTTAACAGCATGAATGAGACCCTTCAGATCCGCTTCCGACAGGCGCTCTGGGGGACGCGCACTTTGTGCCTCCGTTTTCTCCCACTTCCAAGTTGCTCCTCTCAGCGGGACCCTCTCTCGAGAGGTCAGGCCGATATCTGGTCTTCAGCGTAATTTCGACGAGTGACTTCAGCTGGCTCCTTTTATCACCCCGCAGCCGCTGCATCCGCGCGTTGGAGCGTTCCAGCACATCTTTTCGTCCCTTTAGGCCCTGTGTCCTGCGCCTCCATCCCTCCATTTCTCAGGAGAGCAGTTTGAGTCGTTGCTTAAGATGACCGTTTTCATTCAAACCATCCCTTAGTTGGTCCTGGAGATGCCGCGCCTTGTCCTGAGAGGCTTTCAAGATGTTTTTTGCCTCGGTCACCTGGAATTGGTGGGATTCCGCCAGGTCTCCAAGGGACCGTATCTGTCCTTGGAGACGAGCCATCATCAGCCCATGAAACGAAAGTTGGGAGGAGGGCTCACTTTTCTGTACTTTTTCAAGGAAGTCTTTCCTGTCCTCAAGAGATGATCCGCTTGGGTTTTTGTTGAGGACCTCCAAGCACAGGATTTGCAAGGTGGGAGCACTGGCCACCACCACGGGCGTCTTGAGGCCTTCATAGGCTTGTGCCGTGAGTCCAGTCTTCTCCCTGACTTTCCTGTAGACCTCAGCGCGGGCAGAACACCTCTTGGCCAGCTCTGCCTCTCTTCTTAGAGTGCTTCGGCTCTTGACTATGAAAAGCGCCATCGCCGCACACAGCGGGATCTCCCAAGGAAACCCCCAGGGACCTGGGACTCCTCTCAAGGCCGCAGAGACCAGCAGGAGAGCATCCCACAGACCCAGCGGTGAAGACATTCTGCAGACAGGCAGCAGGCCCTTGCTGATCCCACGGGCATCCCAGCTCTGCCTCTGATCTCCAGTGTCCCATGGGCCATAACTGACCACACGGAACCCTGTGGGTACTCTGCCTCTGTGACACCAGTTGCCTGGCAACGAGGGCGAACCACCCTTAGGGCTGAGGCTGGGGAGGTCCTGCAGGTTTTAGAAAGTCGCGCTCCCTGACTGCCCTGCTCCCTGCACAGATCGTGGTAACACCTGCCCAGGACATTCAGGGAGTGGACGTGGTTACAGGGCAAAGCCAGGGGGTCACACGGTGCCAGGCCCTACCCCCTTCTCTGCACACGTGAGCATGTCGGAGCGCAGTGAGCTCTAGATGATGTTTCCTGATCTCGACTTCCCTCTGCCTCAGGGAAGCCCAGGCTCGACTACAAAAGTCCCAGGGATAGCTCTCCTCTAAGACTCACTCACTCACTCTGGCGTGTGGTAAGTGTTTGGGCAAGGACAGAGGACGGAAGGGTTTCCCCAGGTGGACTGTCTGTTGGGATTTCAATCGTGAGAACTCAGGAGGAATGAATCCCAAAAGGCAAGTTCATACAAGTTCATGGATTTTCTGGGGGTCCACCTAGTCAAGGCTATGGTTTTTCCAGTGGCCATGTATGGATGTGAGAATTAGACTATAAAGAAAGCTGAGCGCCAAAGAATTGATGCTTTTGAACTGGAGAAGATTCTTGAGAGTCCCTTGGACTGCAAAGAGATCCAGCCAGTCCATCCTAAAGGAAATCAGTCCTGAATGTTCATTGTAAGGACTGATGCTGAAGCTGAAACTCCAATACTTTGGCCACCTGATGCGAAGAACTGACTCACTGGAAAAGACCCTGATGCTGGGAGAGATTGGTGGCAGGAGGAGAAGGGGACGACAGAGGATGAGATGGCTGGATGGCATCACCGACTTGATGGACATGGGTTTGGGTGGACTCCGGGAGTTGGTGATGGACAGGGAGGCCTGGCGTGCTGCAGTTCATGGGGTTGCAAAGAGTCAGACACAACTGAGCGACTGAACTGAACTGTCTACCTCCATTCAATCCAGGTGTTCCGTATGGGTTTGACTCAGGGACCCAGGCTCCTTCACAGCATGGCCCTGCCATCTCAGCTCAGGGCCCCTGGGCTGCCCAGGGGACAGTCTCCAGTCCACTGAGGCATCAGCAGCCTGTGCCTCTGCAGACGGAGCGGGTTTGTTTCACCCCCTTCTACTTCTTGCAGCCCCATCTCCCTCCGCCAGTGCCTTTCCATAGTCAGGCTTAGAGCCTCATGGTCCATCACCCAGGACTCTGCCACGAGCAGCCCGTGGAGGGTGCAAGCAGGAGGGTGACGTGGTCTGACCGATGTTTGAGAAGGACTGGGGGGCGGGGAGGGAGCTTCCCTGGTGGCTCAGTGGAAAGAATCCAAGCCAAGGCAATGCTGCCAAGGCAGCAGACATGGGTTTGATCCCTAGGTCGGGACGATCCCCTGGAGAAGGAAATGGCCACCCACTCCAGTGTTCTTCCTGGAGAATCCCATGGACAGAGGAGCCTGGTGGGCTACAGTCCATGGGGTCACAAAGAGTTGAACACGACTTAGCAGTGAAACAACAGCAGCAAAAAGGTGGGGGGCAGAGTTGGAGAACGCATGGAACCCGGGCCCCCCGCACTGAGAGTGCAGAGTCTCAGCCACTGGACTGCCAGCGAAGCCCCTCTCCTGTTGATGGATAGGCAATTTGGCAATATTTGCCGAAGTTAATCAGGTATCTTTGATCTTTGATCCAGGTATTCCATTTCTGGAAACTGAGCCAGCAGATAGTCTCATTGTTGTGAAAAATTTGTTATGTACCAGTTTATAATCTGCAGTAATATTTATTATATAATTAAAAACATGGTAGTTTTTTTTTTTTAACATTTCAAAAAAAAAAAAAGAAGAGTCTATGAAAGATGAAAAGCAGGAGAGTGCCCTGTTCAAGAAAGAAACTTCAGGATTTCCCTGGGGGTCCAGTGGTTAAGACTCTGAGCCCCCAGTACAGGGAGCCCTGGTTTGATCCCTGGTCAGGGATTTGGATCCTGTGTGCTGTAAGACCTGGCACAGCCAAATAAATAAATAGTTTAAAAGAAAGAAAGAGAGAGAGAGGAAGTAGTTTCCCAAATGATCCAGATTTTAAAAACACTTCCTGAAAAAGCTACTTTCCTTCTCTGAGCCTCAGTTTGTTCATCTATAGAATGGGCGTAATAGTCATGCCTCCTTACAGGGCCATGGTGGGGTTAAACACATTCAGGAAATGGTAGCTGCCGTGATGCTCACTGTTACGACGCTGATCATTATTTGTTACTTACTTATATCTTGGTTTTGGATAAAGCATAAATGGTGGGTTCTTTGGTATGGCACAGAGTCAGAAGCCTGAAATGAGGAAACCACTATTGCACAACTTCCTTGGACGTCGGAAATCCTCACCATTTCCTCTGGAAATATGAGTGTGGATGACATGCCACATACTAACAGCTGCGACATCCACCTCCCTGTTTCCTAAGCGGTCCAGTGACCTCCAGATTTCATTTAAGTTTTCTATTATTCTCTTCCGAAAGGGACAGTGGAGCTCTTGTTCTAGCAGCTCTGGTGAGCCCAGAGGAGGAACTGGTCTTTCTGAGGAGCACCAAAGAGTTGTTTTCCATACGTTAGTCTGTCGATTGTTTTCTTAATGCAAAGTTGGGTAGGGGAGTATAGACAGTGGGGGGAGAAAAAAAGATAACTTGTATCTATGGCTGGATGTCCACATTTGATAGGGATAAGTGGGATTTAATGTCACAGCTTTGCAAAGATAAAGCCTGTGTGAGTAAGAAGCCCTAAATTGCCCAATCTCAGTTTGCACTGGCTTTTAACCATCACTGTCGGGTTTGGTTGTTTATTGGGTCACGGGAAGACAGAAGTGAGAGACAGCATGAGGAATGGACTTTGTTGAGATGTTGGCTATTACTTCTGTCCCTTCAAAATAACACAAACACAATGAAACAAAGACCCTTGTGGGTTAAATCTGGAAAGCGCAGTAAGAAGCGGCACAGCTGTACATGGGGCGTTCTCAAATGGGCTCAGGCATGCTGTTTTAGGCTTTATTAACTTTTATGTCAAAAAGAACAAGCCATCAAAAGTTGTGGTTTTGTTCTTAGATTGCGAATTTTTATTTCAAACAAAACAGAAGAAAAAAATTTAAAAGCTGTCAGATAGATGCCTTGACTCTCTTCTGGGAAATAATTGTTCAAATTAATCCACTTTGGTTTTGTCGTTGTTTTTAAGCACTATCCACATAATGGCCAAGGGAAGCTTTCAGTTGATTCATTTACTTTGGCTGAGCTGGGTCTTCACGGCAGCGCGGGCTTCTCTAGCTGTGGCAGTCGGCGTAATTGCTCTGCTGCATTTGGGATCTTGACAAGGATTCTGTCCCTGGGTCACGGAGATCCCCTGGAGAAGGAAGTGGCACCCCACTCCAGAATTCTTGCCTGGAGAAGCCCACGGACAGAGGAGCCTGGCGGGCTACAGTCCATGGGGTCGCACAGAGTCAGACACGACTCAGGTGACTGAGCACGCACGCACGCACGCACGCACGCACGTGATCCAAAGAACAGTTCCAACTTCACATTTTTTTCTAGATAGCCACCTTTTATTTTAGTAACTCATCTTTGCTTCTTCAGATCTGAAAGGCAGTCTTTATCAAATACTAAATTCCCACTTGGACTTATTATCGAGGACTTCTGAGAAGCATATGTTGTGTGTATTTTAACTCACTAATTGCAAAGGGAAACTGTTTCCAAATCAGAATACACTAGAATTAAAGTCTTTTGGGGAATTCCCTGGCGGTCCAGTGGTTAGAGATCAGTGCTCTCACTGCCAGGCCCAGGCTTAATTGCTGGTCAGGGAGCTAAGATTCCAGAAGCTGTGAGGTGTGCCAAAAAAAGAAAAAAAGTCTTTTATATTCACTTTAGATGCTTGGGTGTGTGTGTGTGTGTGTGTGTGTGTGCGCGCGCGCGCACACACACGGTGTTCTTATGACTGTGAGCCCACTATGGTGTCTCATTTGTTTGGCCATGTCAAGGTTTAGAAATAGGTACATGACACCACTTTGGACAAAAAGATGAAGGGCCTCCAGCCGAGAGGCCTCTCGGGGAGGGTTTTGCTCACCCTTAAAGAGGGCTGGAAGGCAGGGGCTTTTCCTCTTTCCTCTGGAATCACGGTCTCCCTGGGTTAAGAACTCTGCAGCGGCCGTGGGGCCGTGGTGGGAGCGGCCCAGGAAGACAAGCTGTGGTTGGACCTGGAAGGGAGAACGAGGAAACCTGGCTCCCGCACTAAGTCACCTCCACTAGAAACAGCCGGAGACAGACTCCTTGACAGACTGTTCATCAAGACTGCCCGAGCCCTGCTGAGCTGGATTTTCCATTATTTGCAGCTAAAGCTGTCCTAACAGTCCAGCTTCCCCAATATATTGAAAGATCTAGAACTTTCTCTTCTCGCCTGTGGAGCTGAACTGACCCTATCCCCTTTTTGAAGTCACCAAGTGTGGAACAGGGTGAGAAGGGAACTTTATCAAACTCAATAGTTCAAATAAAATTGTAAAAACACAGGGTACCTTCGGTATTCTGCAAGCCAAGTATGTGTCAGCATTGTATGGCGACTCAGAGAATATGCTATTTGTTTCCTGAAAGCAAACAATACTTCCCTGCTCCTAGTATATAATTTTATGTTTTTCATTTCTTTAAAGATTATTTATTTAGAAAATCGGCTAGAAATTACTCTGGGTGTTTTGGAGCTATTTTGCCAACATAGGAAATTAAAAGGTTAGAGAAAGTTGAAGCAAAGAAGGATTCTTTGAGATTCTCTAGAGCAGTGGTTTCAACCTTGCTGGACGTTGAAATCATCTGGGAATTTTTTAAAAAAAATATTAAAGGCTACTGCTTCCCCAGAGATTTCAATTTTATTGTTCCAGGATGTTACCTAAGCACCAGGATTTTTTTTTTCAGCCTCTCAAGTGTTTACCACTGTGTTTTTATTTCATAATACTTTCCCTCAAACTTCTATTGAAAAACGATTTTTTAATTCCATGAATAGTTAAATGAATTGTGTATGCTGGAAAAGATTGACGGCAGGAGGAGAAAGGAAGGAGAGAGGATAAGATGGTTAGACGGCGTGATCAACTCAGTGGACGTGAGCTTGAGTAAACTCCGGGAGTTGGTGATGGACAGGGAGGCCTGGCATGCTGCAGTCCATGGGGTCACAAAAAATCGGACACGACTGAGCGACTGAACTTAACTGACCAATCCTTACCTGGATTCCTTTGCAGTTGACATTTGGCTATATTTGCTTTGAATAATCCAATTTTAAGATTCATTATAGTAAGTTTTATCCATCTTCATACATTTATAGCAGTGAAAATGAGTCACCGAAAATAAAACTCTTTTCTTCTCCCCAAG